CAATTTAATGCATCCTTTCTGAAGAGAAAAAAAAACTGAACACAAAATTTTTAAAAGGTAGAGTCTATACGGGTTGTATTTATAGTGATTTTTTTTGCCACAGAAGAAAGAAAGTCATACCGGTTTGGAATAACATGAGGATGAGTAAATGAGATATTTCATTTTTTGAGTGTCTATCCCTTTAAGACTCACCACACTAATGAGGGTCCCAGAGGGCCGCTACTTCTGAACCGTGTCCAGCCACTAATCCTTAATCTACAAACATGGTACCTGAACTTTGGCCTTACTTGTACCAAGCACCATGGCTAGATTGAGGGATGGAGCCAGAGAGAGATGGTCGAGAGAGGCTGGTTTTATTACTGTACTCCTGTCCCTTAGCAACTGTGGGAAAAAGGAAAGTCTCACCCTCAGGGACATGTCAACGAATGGAGGTGACGATTCCAGAGCTTGAAGAGAGCTGAAAAGAGAGTATGTAGGTTACGCACTCTCACTTTCTCTTACTTTCTTTCTCACTTTTTCAATGTATCCCGCTCTCCTTTTCCTCTTTTTCTCTCTGTCACAAAGTCCCACCCTCCTACCGCCCCTTCCAGACCTTCGCTAGTGCCGACACCATGCGCAGCTGTCGAGTGATTGATGTCATCTCTGAAAGCTGTCAAGAACTCCCTTCTTTCGTTCTATCTAAAAAGAAAAAAAACTTCTCTCGAACGCAGCAGGCTCGCTTAAGTATCGCCCATTTATCTTGACGCCTCACAGGTTGTGGTAAACCGGGAGAATGTATGCCATGCCATTGGGATTATTTTGTACTGTAGATAAAATCTCAAATAAGTGAATATTTCTGAGAAACTTTGTGCTGTTTTTTTCTTCCTTTCAACAATGACAGACCTTTCTTCAAGTGAATATTAATTCCTTTCACTCTGGAAATCTGAATTTCATTAAGGCCGCTCTTAATCTGTGTTCTGAGGAGCTGAGTGCGTATTGACAGAGCTTAAGATTCGGTAGGTTTACACCTCGCTCATTTAAAAAGCTGTCCATCAGGGTGTTTATTCAGCGAATGTAAATTCACCCCCAATTACCATTCAGTTCCATGAGGCTTTAAATCCCCAAAAAAGAAATCTTCATCCCAGACAATTCAGATGGTCACAATAACTTAATCCCAAGATAATTAAGACAAGTCTGGTGAGGACAGTATTTTGCATGCACAACACTTCAAAAGAGATGCGATTTATGTTTGTTAAAAGTTTTTTGTTTTACCCCTTGATTTGCATTTTTTCCCTCCTGTCACATCCTTATTATCCCAAACTCTTGCCAGATCCTTTATGACTCACTGTGATTTAGAATCCTCCCTTAATTCTTTGTGCATCTGGATTTCTTCTTTAACGTTATGTCTTTGTGATTTAACAATGCTTGGTGTGGCCTACATCGTTCTACACTACTGTCCAAAAGTTTGGTAAGATTTTTTAATGTTGCTACATGTGTTTGATCAAAAATACTAAGAAAGTAAGAAATATTATTACCAAAAAATGTATCTTTTTCTATTTGAATATATTTTAAAATGTAATTTATTCCTGTGATGGCAAAGCTGAATTTTCAGCAGCCATTACTCCAGTCTTCAGTGTTACAAAATCATTCTCACTTAGTGTTCAAGAAACATTTGTGTTCTTTGTGAATAAAAATTGTTAATTTATTTTAAAAAAAATGTATCTATTAACAGGAGTGTGTCCATCTCACAAATGTAGAATCCGTCTCTGCAGTCATCTCAACCATTTAATTCCAGCATCAGGAAATAGACAAACTATTTTACCCGCGGGATTTTTTTCTCTGGTGCTGTTTTGCGGTGTTAGTAATATGTTGTTGTAACTTGCGTTACTGAGATTGTAACGAGTAATAATATTACCCAAATTTTATTAGTAATGCGTTATATTACTGCGTTACAGCAAAACGTAATATACTACTGTAATATTATTACTTTTGTAATGCGTTACTCCCAACACTGTTTGTCAAGTATGATATCAGTTTATATCCCTACGAGATCTCTGAGGTCTGAAAACCAACACCTCCTTTGTGTTACTAGGACAAAATACAAACACAGGGGAGATAGAGCCTTTTCGCGAGCTGGTCCAAAACTGTGGAATGACCTCCCTCATAGTATTAGATCCGTTAACTCACTAGCGGTTTTCAAAGCTGTGTTAAAAGCACATCTTTTAAAGACTAATGAGGAGTTGTTATGATGCAGGTTTAGTTATTTTAAATTGTACCCATGTTGTTATGTGATTTGTGTTGTTATTTGAGACTATGCTTGTTTTTATGTAATTTTATTGTGATATTGTGAAGCACTTTGGGCAACCTGGTGTTGCATTAAACTGTGCTATATAAACAAATAAACAAACAAACAAACAAACAATGTTTGTCAAAATAACTTGCAATAAAAGTTTTTTTTTTTTTCAATATCGTACAGCCCTAATCCTTGCTTTAATGTGCTCTCTCCATCTCTTTGTCTTCAGGAAGTGAAGCACATCCTGAGATTCTACCTGATTGAACCTGTCTTTGAGCATATTTCCAGGTAGACCGACTCGCCCTGAACTCCCTCACCGCCTCTTTTCACCCTTGTCAGGCCTGTGTAAATAAGTCATCAATGGCTGTAGAATAGACGTGTTATTCAAAAAGAGAGATGGCCAAGGAGAGGAAAGAAGAGGACAGGTGGTTATTAGAGGGAGGGAAGGAGAGGAAAGAACTGCTGAGACCTGCTTCCGTTTGTTCCGACTGTAATTACCGGAATCGTTATGCCCATTCAAACTGAATCCAAACACCTGCCCACTCAGATTTTTGAGTTAAGTTGATTTTATTATTATTTAAAAAAACAAAACAAAATCATGCTAGACAAATACTGTAAGACTGGACTATCATGTCTCATACTTAAATTAAGTAAGAACTACTCAGCAGTTAAAACAAGTTTTTTTTTCCTCTCTCTCCTTATTTTGCCTTGGGCACCAAGTGAGCCAGGACTGCCTCAGTGCCCCTTAAAATACAGAGGTGCCTGTCGCTTCTTTTAATTAAAATCTCATCTGACAGGAAACAGACAATTGCTTGGAATTGGGAATGAGATACGTCAGTTTGTGGATATAAAGATAAGGAAAGGAAAGGAAAGGAAAGGAAAGGAAAGGACAGGACGATAGACAAACGGCTCACTCACTAGTGCAGGCAACAGATGGGGTCAGTTTTTGTCCTATCAATTAATTTATTCAAGTAGTTTTGCATAATCCTTTATTATTATTTCTTAGAAAAATACATTAACAAAATGGTTTCACTGCTTATTTGTTTTAAAATAAACACTTTTGTTCACAAAATTAAAGTCATCTAGCGTTAATAAGCAGAAAAACTGAGTGACTCAGTGTTTAAATTCAACGCACCTGGCTGGCTTTATGAAAACCCATGTGAAAGACTTGGGCTTCGTTTTGGATAGTGAATTAAAGATGGACAGGCAAATAAACACACAATTTTTTTTTCATTTCCGTCTATTAGCGAAGACGAAACCGTTTTTATCTACCACTGATTTGGAGAAAGCCATTACGGCTATCGTTTTCACTCGAATGGACTACTGTAACTCCCTTTATTTTGGAGTTGATTGTGGTGCACTGGGGCGCCTACAGAGAATCCAGAACGCAGCGGCGAGAATAAAAAAAAACATGACTCAGTCACTCCATTACTTGCGTCACTAAATTGGCTGCCGGTACGGCTTAAAATAATTTATAGGATTCTTATTTTCGTTTTTATGGCCCTTCACAATTTAGCCCCTGGGTATTTGTCAAGTATGATATCAGTTTATATCCCTACGAGATCTCTGAGGTCTGAAAACCAACACCTCCTTTGTGTTACTAGGACAAAATACAAACACAGGGGAGATAGAGCCTTTTCGCGAGCTGGTCCAAAACTGTGGAATGACCTCCCTCATAGTATTAGATCCGTTAACTCACTAGCGGTTTTCAAAGCTGTGTTAAAAGCACATCTTTTAAAGACTAATGAGGAGTTGTTGTGATGCAGGTTTAGTTATTTTAAATTGTATCCATGTTGTTATGTGATTTGTGTTGTTATTTGAGACTATGCTTGTTTTTATGTAATTTTATTGTGATATTGTGAAGCACTTTGGGCAACCTGGTGTTGCATTAAACTGTGCTATATAAACAAATAAACAAACAAACAAACAAACAATGTTTGTCAAAATAACTTGCAATAAAAGTTTTTTTTTTTTTCAATATCGTACAGCCCTAATCCTTGCTTTAATGTGCTCTCTCCATCTCTTTGTCTTCAGGAAGTGAAGCACATCCTGAGATTCTACCTGATTGAACCTGTCTTTGAGCATATTTCCAGGTAGACCGACTCGCCCTGAACTCCCTCACCGCCTCTTTTCACCCTTGTCAGGCCTGTGTAAATAAGTCATCAATGGCTGTAGAATAGACGTGTTATTCAAAAAGAGAGATGGCCAAGGAGAGGAAAGAAGAGGACAGGTGGTTATTAGAGGGAGGGAAGGAGAGGAAAGAACTGCTGAGACCTGCTTCCGTTTGTTCCGACTGTAATTACCGGAATCGTTATGCCCATTCAAACTGAATCCAAACACCTGCCCACTCAGATTTTTGAGTTAAGTTGATTTTATTATTATTTAAAAAAACAAAACAAAATCATGCTAGACAAATACTGTAAGACTGGACTATCATGTCTCATACTTAAATTAAGTAAGAACTACTCAGCAGTTAAAACAAGTTTTTTTTTCCTCTCTCTCCTTATTTTGCCTTGGGCACCAAGTGAGCCAGGACTGCCTCAGTGCCCCTTAAAATACAGAGGTGCCTGTCGCTTCTTTTAATTAAAATCTCATCTGACAGGAAACAGACAATTGCTTGGAATTGGGAATGAGATACGTCAGTTTGTGGATATAAAGATAAGGAAAGGAAAGGAAAGGAAAGGAAAGGAAAGGAAAGGAAAGGAAGATTGACAAACGGCTCACTCACTAGTGCAGGCAACAGATGGGGGGTCAGAGAGGGCTCTGTAGTAGCCGTCCTCACAGTCACATCTCCATGAGCCCTCTCTGTCGTTATAACTGTGTGCGGGACAACGGGAACACTGAAGATCCTGAGATGAAGACTTGTAGAATCCACGACCACAGGCTGGATGGTGATGGAGAGAAAGAGAGAGAGAATTAGCATGTGTTCACATTTTGTATCATCTAGTGTTTGGATCAGACTGCCCCTTAAGCACTCTCATAAGAAAGAAAGAAAATGTCTCTTTAATATCTCAATTGTTTCTTCTCAGATTCTCAGATCGTGGTCAATGTATCTCTTCTAGGGTTTTAGAAGAGATCTCAACATTTGCTATCAAAAATCTGAGATTTTAACATCAACTCAAACAATTCTTATTCAATTCTCCCAGGAGATCAGAGATATGCAAACCATATGAATTTTATATTTACAGCCAGTGGTGTTATAGTTAACAAAAACTAAAATTAAGTAAACATATTCTTGGTAATAAAATAAAATAAAATAAAATAAAATAAAATAAAGTTTAAACTTCGAAAAGTTTGAAATGTACCTGGAATTAAGTTTAAGTTGAAGTACTAAAATTACTCAAACTAAACAGAAATAAAAAATTAAAGATAAATATATATATAAAAAAAGACAAAAACACATAACAAAATTACTTAAACATAAAGTGAATTAAAATTTAAAAAAAGTTAATTCAAAACATTAATAAATATATAATATGTAAATGATACTAAAATAGCACTGTTTATAGCAGGAATTTTGTCAACAACTGTCCTTTTTTTCTCCTAAGATGTTTTAAGACACAAGTCAATACATAGAAAAATAAATAATCATAAAGAAATATGAAAAGATCAAATTCTGAGCACTAACATTTTCTGCTGGGTCATTACAACACACACTGAGTTACTCATATGTTGCATCAACCAGGGGCCTTATATTCCTGATCACCCCAAAAGCACTAGCATGCTTGCCTTTACACCACCTCTAGCAGTCAGAAATGTCCTAGAGGCAAGGTTACTGTGGAAAATAGGAAACTTAAATGGATTATTTCAGTATTTCACCTTTTATGAGAGGAAAAAAGGACATCCCACAGGCAGCCAGGGATCAGAGACAAAGCAGAAATTAGGGCCAGATCGCTTTAGGCTATGCACAAGAATCACCCTCACACGTTCCAATGACAACGAGTCATTTACTCCCATTCTTTATTTCATATGCCCATATGGGCTGAATTGCCAACGAAGCATTATAATCATATATTACTATTTGCATTATAATTAGACAACATTAAATACCTAATAAAATGAATTTTCCCTTGTATTCAGTTTTTCATGACTTTATAATTCATCACTAGAAACGGTGGTGTTAATTAACCTTCTGAAAAGGAAAAAAAATGCAGAGAGAACAAGTCTGGGGTGATTCCACAGGCTGAGGTATTTTCTAGTTCACATCAGTAAGCAAAGAGAAATAAGCTATTTTCGGTTTGGCCTTTTGGTCTGCACTGCTGAGAGCCACTAATCCACACTTAGCAGCTGTTTGTTAAAACCCCCTTCAGCCTAAAGAGGGAATCGGGCCCACATGATTTTTCTTAAACCCCAACCATGCCCGCATCCCCTGGATAAATATTACTTTGTTCACAGCTATGCATTTTAATAATTATTACCAGGGACACAACACTACTGATTATCAATTCCCAGCCTAATTTTTAGATCTCAGTAGTTGCATTATTTTCTAAAGGCCTTCAAAAAGAGGAGAAAAAAATCCTGCAGCTTTCCGTGACAAGACTAAAATGGAGATCGCATAGGAGGTCGACCGATTTCCTCATTTTAAACACCACCTTGTTGAGATGGGGGGTGGCTGAGGGATACGGTATCCCCATTTCAGCTACATGAAAGCCCTGTCACTGTGTATTTAGCTCAGAAGCATGGCATGGTGTGGCTGTGCAACGTAAAGAACAAGAGCCTTCTGAGGCTGAGAAGTGGAGGAAAGGGATGTGATTTTATCTGGGATCTTTCTCAACCAGTGAGGACTTGTAATTGAAAGCAGCAGGTCTAGTTCTTGTTGTAAGGAGGTGGTGCTGGCAAAGTGTACCGTGAAATAGCCATGGTTGAATGATATTTATGTATTTTTCCATTTAGTATTCATTGTATAAATGAAATAATTACACCAAAAAAAACAAAAAAAAAACATATTCAACAATATATGTGTAGTGTCAAAACATACAGTATTAAGATTCCTTTCCATATATTTATACAGTGTTGTCTCAGAACAAGGGATTTCAAACCATTGGAAAGGAGAAGAAAAGAAGGAGAGGGAAAATGAACAAGAAAAGAACCAGGAAAAGAAAATGCTGAATACAGGAGGAAAAGGAAGGGACAGTAAAGTAAAATAACCGGTAAAAGGAAAGGTAAGAAAGAAACAGGAAAAGGAGAAGACAACTAAGAAAAAGCACAAAAACAGAAAATGAAACAAGAAAATGAAAAGGAACAAGAAAAGAAAAAAGGAAAAGGGAAAGATAAGGAAGACAAACAGGAGAAAGTACAAGTAAGGTAAGAAAAGAATAAAACAAAAGGAAAATGAAGGGAAAGGGAAAGGGAAAGGGAAAAGGAAAATGGAAAAAGGTAAAAGGAAAAAGGAAAAAGAAAAGGAAAAGGAAAATGGAAAAAGACAGGTACAGGAACATGAAACGCGAGCAGAAGAAGCAAGAAAAGTAACAGGAAAAGACCAGGTAAGGAAGATAAACAAGAGAAGGAACAAAAAAGTAAGTAAAGAACAAAACAGAAAAGAAAACGGACAAGGAAGGTAAGGTGAGGAATGGGAAAATGAGAAGGAACTGCAGAGATAAGGCAAGGAATGAAAACAGGGAAAGAAATGAAAAGAAAAACACTCTCAGAAAAAAGGTACAAAAGCTGTCACTGGGGCGGTACCTTTTCAAAAGGCACACCTTTGTACCTAAAGAGTCCATATTGTTACCTTAAAGGTGCATATAAGTACCTAAAGTGTCCATATTAGTACCTAAGAGTAGGCCTGTCACGATAACATATTTTTGTTGTGCGATATATTGCCCCAGAAATAATTGCGATAAGCGATATTATTGTCATTTTAAAGACCATTTTATGCCACTGAATATATAATCATAATGTAACAGCATAATAATGCAAGAAGGCCTACACACTTCCAAATGACAACAAACTTTAAATTTTTAAAAATATTTAGATCATGGAAATTAAGTATCAAAATATTAGATACCTTAAAAAACTTGAATAAATAGTAAATAAACATTTTCTAACAAAAAGTGCAAAGTAACAAGTAAATGCAAAAAAAAAAACTTGTATGGAGATTTTTCCATCTACAGATTTTTCCCTGACCTTCTTTTCTCTGTAAATGAAGGGTGCACACTATTGCTGAAAAACACAATCACTACTTAGCAGTAGGGTTGGGTACCGAAACCCGGTACCAATATGGCACCGGTACCTATGTAACCGGTATGTAC